AACACCACCGACCCCTCCCCCAACGGCCTGCGCTGTTATGGCTGCCCCGAGAGCGGGCCCTGCCCCCCGACCACCGTCGTCCATTGCTACGGCGACCTCCGCGCCTGTTTCCACGGCAACGTCACCCTGCGCGCAGGTGAGCCCCGGAAACCCCGCCCCCTCCCGGGCGTGGCCACGCCCAGGTGCGTTTAACCACGCCCCCCTCGCCGGCAGGTAACCTCACCTTGTGGCGGGAGCTGCGGGGCTGCGTCCCCGATGGCGGCTGCGGCCCGGATCGGCGCGGCGACGACGCGGCCTCGCTCGGCGGCTCCTGTTGCCGCGGCGACCTCTGCAACGACAACATGGCCGACAAGAGCTTCTTCTCGCCCGACCTGCCCCGCCTGGAGCTGCTGCCGCACGGCCACGCCCCCACGGCCGCGCCCGAGAACGCCACGGCGGATGGCGGCGGGCAAAATGGCACCCGCGGCAAGATGGCCGCCGGTGGTGGTGGTGGCGGTGCCAAAATGGCCGCCGGTGACCGCACGGCTGGTGGTGATGCCGGAACGGCCGCGCCCGAGCGCGCTGTGGCCACCAGCGGCAAGAGGGCTGCGGGTGGCAAGATGGCTGCCGGGGGGAAGATGGCTGCCGGGGACAAGATGGCTGCCGGGGACAAGATGGCTGATGGGGAAAAGACGGGTGACGGAGACAAGATGGCCGCCGGTGGCAAGATGGTCACCCGGGACAAGACGGCTGACGGAGACAAGATGGCTGACGGAAACAAGATGGCTGACGGGGACAAAATGGCTGCCGGTGACAAGATGGCTGACGGAGACAAGATGGCTGACGGAGACAATATGGCCGCCGGTCACGTGGCCCCCAGGCGGCCAATGGGGCGCAAGGACGGGATCAAGGGCCCGGTGGGGCGGGGCAAATCTCTGGGCGGGCCCGGGTGGCTCCTCCCCTTCCTGCTGTTGCCCCTCCTCCGCTGAGGGCGGGGCTTGTTTCGCAATAAATGGGTGTGGCTTAAGCGCCGGTGCCGGAGTCGTTTTTTGGGGGAAAATTGGGATTTTTGAGAGGAATTCGGTGATAAAAAAATTGTCAAATTTTGGGTTAATTATGTGATAGTTTTTAATTGGTTTTGAATTATTTTTGAGTTGTTTTTGTTGCATTTTTTTTTGGGTTTTTTCATTATTTTTCGTAATATTTTTCAAAATTTTTCGTTCTACTTTTCGTTCTATTTTCTGTTCCATTTTTAATTTTATTTTTAATTCTATTTTTAATTAATTCTATTTTAAATTCTCTTTTTCATATTACAATTATTATTATTACTATTATTATTATATTATCCTTAAGTAATAATTACCAATATAATTACCTACTCTTATAATAATTTTAATAATATTAAATTTTATTAATTGTAATTAATAAACATCATTAGCAAAACCTCATTAGGGCTCAGCCAGCCCCTCCCCCACAACCCCTCCCCCAAAATGACCAAAAAAGGAGATTTTTATCCCAAAAAACCTTTAATAAATACAAAAGGGGGCGGAGCCAGAAACTCCCAGTGCTCCCAGTAAAGGTCAGGGGGGGTCCCAGTTTGGGGCGGATTTTGAGGGGAAAAGGGCGGGAAAATGGGGAAAAATGGAGGAAAAATGAGGGGTTGGGCTCTGGGGAGGCGTTTTTGGGCTCAGCCATGACGGCTCCACCCGTCCTTCCCCCCCCCTTTTTTTTGGGTTTTAGCCGAAAACCCGTTTTTAAATTTTTTTTTTGTTTTTTTCTCTTCACCTTTCCGGCCACGCGCCCGGGGTCGTACCAAACCTCCTCGATGGCTTGGAAGTAGATGACGCCCTTGAGTTTGGTTTGGGCTTGGTCTGGGGGGTGTGGGAAGGGTGAGAGGACCCCCAAAATCCACCCCCACCCTCTTTACCCCAACATTTCCCCCTGTAGCCCCCCAAAAACGCCCCAAATTCACCCGAAAAATCCCTTCTATATTGGGCTCTACATCCCCCCCCTCTCTCCCCTACCTCTAAAATCTCCCCGAAATCCACCAAAAAATCTTCATAAAATCCCCCCAAAAATCCAAAAAAATTCTCCCAAAATTCCCCCCAAATCCCCACAAAAATCCCCCCCAAATTCCCCCAAAAATCTCCCCAAAATCCACCCCAAATCTTCATAAAACCCCCCCATAAAATAAAAAAAAACCTCCCAAAAATCCCACCCAAATCCCCACAAAATCCACCCAAAAATCTCCTAAAAAAATTCTCCCAAAAATCCCCTCCCAAAATCCAATCCTTGAGTGGGCGGAGCCACCTCAGGAGGGGGCGTGGCCTGAGCCGGAGGGGGCGTTGCCTGTGCTGGAGTGGGTGTGGCCTCATCAGCAACGGGCGTGTCCGTGGTGGGCGGAGCCTTGGCAGCTTTTCGAGCCTCCTGCGAGGAGGAGGCGATGAAGCCACGCCCACTTTGACCACACCCCATTAAGCCACGCCCACAAACCCAATAAACCACACCTCCACGATGCATTACATCACCAAAACCTCCCATTTTAGGCCACGCCCACACCCGTATCCTCACAGACCACACCCACCAGGACCACGCCCACATAATCCACGCCCACCCAGGCCACGCCCACCCAGGCCACGCCCCCTACCCTGGCTCGCAGCAGCCGCTCGCGCTCGGCCAAGGCCTCCCGGACCCGCAGCTCCAGTTGGGCCAGTTGGAGACACGCACTGGGCAAACTGGGATTAACTGGGGGGGCTGGGGGGGCTGGGATTAAACTGGGAGAGACTGGGATTAAACTGGGATTAAACTGGGATTAAACTGGGAGGGACTGGGAGGGACTGGGGGTGATTTTGGGTCAGTTTTGGGGCATTTTGGAGTCAGTTTTAGAACTGGGAGGGACTGGGATTAAACTGGGATTAACTGGGAGGGACTGGGATTAACTGGGGGGGCTGGGGGGGCTGGGATTAAACTGGGAGAGACTGGGATTAAACTGGGATTAAACTGGGATTAAACTGGGAGGGACTGGGAGGGACTGGGGGTGATTTTGGGTCAGTTTTGGGGCATTTTGGAGTCAGTTTTAGGGTAAGTTTTGGACCATTTTTAGGATCAGTTTTGGGTCAGTTTTGGGCCATTTTTAGGTTCGGTTTTGGGGTTAATTTGGGGTCAGTTTTAGGTCAGTTCAGGGTCAGTTTTGGGTCGATTTTACGGTCAGTTTTAGGTCGGTTTTTGGGTCAGTTTTGGGTCAATTTTAGGATCAGTTTTAGGTCGATTTTAGGTCAGTTTTGGGTCAATTTTAGGATCAGTTTTAGGTCGATTTTAGGTCAGTTTTGGGTCAATTTTAGGATCAGTTTTAGCCCA